CTCACACCACGCACCCGCGCCCAAGCCCAACCCAGCCCAACCGGACTAATGGACGGCGACGCACGCGCCCAATCGAACAGACGGATGGCGGTGTGCGCGTGTGTTTATTTTGGGTCCAATGGGTCTAGCCCACTTTGCCCATAACCTCCCCCTCTACAAAACTTAGGTGCCCCTTAGGGCCATTTTATTTCCAAACAAATAATAAAAATAAAATTCAAATGTAATGTTTTTTGCCCAAAAAGATAAATATTGGGGTGGACAAGCCCAATCCAACCTCACACTACGCACCCACGCCCAGCTCGCCCGATCGACCGTGACGCGCGCGTGTGTGTTTATTTTGGATTCAATGGGTCTAGCCCACTTTGCCCATAACCTCTTCCTCTACAAAACTTGGGTGCCTCTTGGGGCCTACCCTAAGTTCCAAATGCAAGCCTTATAAACGCACTCAAAGTTTGTCCACCAAACCAACGTCGAAAAAGCCTTATTTCAAATCTTAATGGAAATTTCACCACAAACACCATTTCCATAGAGCTCACTTTGGCTTCAATTTCTCATTCACCTGATAATGGTTTTAAGCAACCAGATATACCACGTGAATCACAACACGACATAGAACACGTTACCACTTAGACTCGCCAACTTTGGCACATGGGTCCCACTTAAAAATTAGACCAAAGTTGAGGAAAAATATGATTTTTCCAAAACCATTTCTAACAAAAGCATGGAATCCTCATAAAATCCAATAGCTGCGATGTCTTCACTTTCTACTTGAGCTCAAGTCATTTCACCACCGTCTATTTCTTTTACAATCTCCTCCAATCTCATCTTCTTCAAATGCCCTATCGGCGTCAACGGTGCACTTGACAAGCAGATTGAGGCTTTCTTTCGTTGTAATCACAATTACAGTTACAAAGGCTACTCAGGCTACACAGTTTACTGTAAATACCCTGATGATCCTTATCAATCTCTTCTTATTAATGAGAGAATTCTGCAAAGCTGTGTACTTATTCAACTACCGGTGTTTTCGTTGAACGATAGCAAGAAGCGAAATGCCATTGATTTGTTCTCTGTATTGGCTTTTGAGTTCTCACGCGGATTTCATGTGTCAAAGGAATGCGGTGAGTGTAACCTCAAGCCATTGCCCTTGATACGAAAGCTCCAAGTTCCAATGCATTGAGCATGCTTACTTACCCAAAAAAAGCATTGAGCAAGCAAAACACGGCATTGGAATTTCTCTGCTGCATAAAGCATATTGTTATTTGTGATTTAATCCAAAATCTTCAATTTGTAGAAGTCTGCTCCATATGGATTTTGGTTCATTACCTTGGTTGGTTTTGATTAATTAATTGTTATCCTGTAGTTATAAGCTCATGCATTCAGAATATGCTTACTAAATTATTATGAATTGTTGTATGTGCCAAATTCAAGTTGGATTATGCTTATTACTTGCTAGATATCTTGTTTTTTTTATGCTTGTTACACCCTTATCGGGGACAAGAAAGATGTCTGAGCATGCCATTAAAATAGAACATTCAAAACCTAGCACTGAAAAACTCTCACAACTTGAGAGCTAGGCCAAAGAAACAAACTACATGCAAAGGTAAAGGGCAATGCCTTGTAATTATTTCATAGAAGGCATACAACTAGATTTCTTAGACATGGTTAGACAAAATAGCATTCTTCTCTAGCAAGCTTAAGATTTCCAATTCTATCAAAGAGCTTTTTTTTGTTATAACCTCTTGAAAATGGGTTCGTCCATGGAATCCCAAATGTTCCATTCGAAAGGGTCTGTGGAACCCCTTTAAGACGTTAAGATCGATGAAGATCTAGCCTATTTTGACTACCCCATCTCCTTCAGTTGCTCTCTCTTCATTTGAAGCCTCCTCATTTGGATTACCCCATTTTGCATTTGTGTCTATATTGACCTTGTTTGGTATTATTCGGATCTTTATATGTAAGGAATCATTTTGGAGTTTCAAGGTTCATGACCTTAGGAGCTTCTGTAAAGTGGGGGGGATTTAGAGAGAACCGACTCATTATGTTCTCTATTTTCATAGTAAAACACTTTCATGTTCTTCGCCTATAGATGTAGACTTATAGAAGTACAACATATACCTTTTTGTATGCTTGTGTGTTCGTTTTGTCTATTACTTCCCAATTTTTGATTCCGTCTTAACAAATTGCCTGAGGTTTTTCTCCTTGGCATTATTTGTAGGAACAAAACACGTGATATTGATTCTAGCAACAGGTAATATACCTCTGATCAATATCTATAAGCATGAATAAATTTAGATGCATCTATATACGTCAAATGTTTTTAACTAGTGGTTGCAAAAAGAAGTAGGTTGCAATTGATTTTAAGAACAGGTAATATACGTCATTAGCCAGTATTTATATGCATGAGTATATTTAGATAATTTTTTTGCTCGTCTGCCACATTAGCTTAATTTTTCTTGTTTTGCAACTCCTTCAGCTGTTGCTAGAATTGGCATTTTAGTAATCCTATTGTTCTGCATCACAAGGAAACTAGCACAAAATGATCAATCCACATTCTTTTGGAAGAATAAAACAGAGAAATACTGAAATGTTGAGGCCTTTCTAAAGAATTAAGGATCTCCTGCTCCAAAAAGGTACACTTACTCTAACATCAAGAAAATGACCAACTCCTTCAAAGTTAAACTAGGTCAAGGAGGCTATGGTTGTGTTTTCAAAGGAAATCTAGAAAATGGCCCCCTTGTGGCAGTAAAGGTTCTAAAAGGATTGAAAGACAACGGAGAAGATTTGATTAATGAGGTTGCAGCCATTAGTAGGACTTCTCATGTTAATATTGTAAATCTCCTAGGGTTTTGTTTTGATGGTCACAATAAAGCTCTTGTATATGAGTTCATGCCTAATAGATCCCTTGAGAAATTCATATATGATAGGAATTCCGTGACATATCACCAATTGGGATGGGACACATTGTACAAAATTGCAGTTGGCATTGCTTGAAGATTAGAGTACTTACACCATGGTTGCAACATTCGGATTTTGCATTTTGACATAAAGCCTTACAATATTCTTTTAGATGAGGACTTTTGTCGAAAGATCTCTGATTTTGGTCATGCTAAATTATGCCCACAGAAAGAGATTATCGTATCACTATTGGGTGCTAAAGGGACTATTAGTTATATTGCCTCAGAAGTATTTTGCAGAAACTTTGGAAGAATTTCACACAAGTCAGATGTCTACAGTTATGGAATGATGATTCTAGAAATGGTTGGAGGAAGAAAGACTACTGATGTCAAAGTTGATCATACAAGTGAGATATATTTTCTACATTAGATATACAAGGAAGATGATTATGACTGGCTTGTGGTGTATAGAAACTGATCCCCCACTTCGGCCATCAATGAACAGGGTGGTAGAGAAGCTAGAAGGGAGCCTGGAGTCCTTGCAAATCCCCCCTAAGCCTTACTTGTCTTCTCGCCCAAGATCACCACCAGATTCTTCAACTGCACTCATGCCATAACATTGTGCAATTCACAATGCATACTTCTATTGCCAAGGTAATGGGCACTGGTGAAAATTAGGTAAATTGTATCTCTCTTTTGCTTGTGCTTGACAGTTGTAATTACTACAATTCAGATTTTGCCTAGGGTTTAAAAACTAGTTACAATTAAAAAAAAACTCTATAATATCATAAACCTCTTCATATAATTCTAGTATACTTATTTCATAGTACAATTAAATCAAGATCTAGAAAATTGTTTAGAACAAAAATAGCAGATGTTTTTTCAATTTGATTACTTCACACAAAGGTATTCAAATTGGGGGATAAGGCTAGTTCACTTTAGACCTTAAATTGCTCCAAACAGAGTGCCTCTTATTTCAAAGGTAAATGTGGACGTTAATAACAATTTACATGTTTTCCAGAGTCAACTTGATCAATAAATTTATAGAACTTTGGTGAATTCTATTAAATTTTGAATATTTTGAGTCCCCAGAAATTTCAAGTCAAGCTCAATACCAATGGTTCAGGAAGGGGAATATGGGGACTGCTGCTGTGACAATTGCTCTGAGGTTTTTGAGGATTTATTTTAAGCCTATTTTGATTATTTGAATAATCAAAATATATTATTCATATAAAAAATTAAGTTAATCGAATATTCATAACCCAATTATTGGATTCTAATTATTTTAAAAAAACATTATCAAAATTATGATAACTATTTATTTTTATTTTTTTTAAAAAAGGGAAAATTATCCAAAAATCCCATATCACCAACACACATCCCATTTAGTCTTACCGATTTACACATATACTAAGAGATCCCATTTGTTATACCATTTATTACCAGCGGGTCCTGTTTTGATTTTTGTTTTCATATTATGGTCGTTTGTACCCTTTCCTTATCTGGGTCACACAGAATTAGGAATTAAGTCCGTTTCCTAATACCCATCTTCTGGCACAGAATTAGGGATCACGTTCATATTGTAATACCATCTCCTCCACTGGGTCACACAGAATATTGTCCAATATTTGGTCACCACAGTCAGATCACAGAGGAAACACATTCAAGGTTACACTGAGATCAGCATTGCAACGCTGTAAGCATACACACTTGCAGGTACTCCGTTGATTTCCCCCCTTGTATGATGGTTGTTGTATAAGTTTTCATCATTGTCTGTGCCCCCCCCATTCCTGATGAGTTTTTAAGCATGTGCATTCGACTATCGTCTAGTACATACATAAGTGCTTCTGTGTTCTTCTTTTACTCCCTACCTTCTAAACCGCCTGTAACTATTTTTAATGCAGGGATGGACAACGTTATTATGTTGTTGTGCTGTTTCCGGTCCACCAATGTCGCATACAATCTCAAATCCCCTTACGCATTTGTCGATTTGGTTAATTTTTTGTGTGATAATTTTGGTGGTCTACGTCGGGTAATGTTCGATTGGTCTTCAATGTTCCGGGTTACAATAATATCTCATTACAAAATGATGTAGATATGCAAAATATGGTTCACCTTGCATCCTCTTTTCGTTTGCAACTAATTGAGGTTATGGTCAAGTCACGCAATCATGTTTGTGTAACAGCAAACGATGATTTTGTGGACACCATATCAAGCCCCGGCATGTGTGGAATCAGACGCACTGTTCACCAGATTAACAATGAGTGTGATATTGATTTGTTGCCAAACTATTGTCCACATGATGAAAATACATTCTTATCAGCACCACGGGCTAACAGACTAACTCATGTGGGGCAGAGTTTCGAAGGTGGTGCAACTGAGTTTCGAACAGTACTTTGCAAATATGCGGTGGAATGTGGTTTTGAATTCAAGTACCTGAAAAATGATACAGTTAGAATTACCGCTGTGTGTTCGTTGCGAGAGTCGAAGGGTTGCACATGGTTGGTACATGAGCGAGTTTTGGATGCTAATGGTTTTTTCTACCTTCGCAAATGGAACAGTCAACACATTTGTGGCGTCGTTGTTCGTACAGTCAACAACCGCCGTTTTGGATCAGACTTGGTCTCCGACATCTTTGCACATCGTATCCGCGACAAGCCTTTGACTAGGCCTACTGATGTTGCATTTGATTTGAAAAAAAATTACGGCCTCGAAATAAGTTGCCGCGTTGTTTGGTTAGGTGTCGAAAAAGCTAGAGATGAGTTATTTGGGGCCCAAAGCGCATCTTTTGATCAGCTACGGTGGTACAGTGGGGCCGTAACGGAACACAACCTGGGTACTTATATCAATATTGATTGTGATGAGCATGACAATCGGTTTGAACGTTTTTTTATATCATTCAAAGCATGCATTGACGGATTCAAACATTGCCGACCATCACTTTTCCTAGATGGCACTTTCTTGAAGGGGAGGTTCAAAGGGAATTTACTTGCTGCCACATCTAAGGATGGAAACCGAGGTACATTTAAAATTTACACAAATACAATGCACATATGGCACACAACCATACCTGCCAATATTTCCACAGAACTACCTACACCTTCACACCTAACTAACCAACATAGACCCATGCAGGATTGTTTCCAGTCGCATTTGCGATTGTAGGTGCAGAAAACGCAACAAACTGGTCATGGTTTCTACAACATCTTCGTAATGCACTCGGTGATGACAGAACATTTACATTCATATCAGATCGGCATGTTGGCCTCATGGAGGCAATGCCCATTATCTTCCCAAATGCTCACCATGCGTTTTGCATGCAACACCTTCAGAGGAACCTCAAAGACAAACTGAAATATATGAACAATTTCCATCGGATTGCGTTGATCACCAAGTTCAACAACTGCGCTTACGCACCGATTGTTACTGCATTTGAAGAGATGGTAGAAAAGTTCACCAATTCTGGTAAGAAAATTACAATTGATTTCCTCGGAAATCTACCTCCACAACATTGGGCGAATGCTTATTTCAGGTGTGTACCTTAACATGTTCCACTTGTAGATGAAGCGTATAAAACATTGACCGTGTAGTGTTACATTACGTTATCTATACTAATGCTGCTTTTATGTTGTGAAACACATTGTAATTCAAAGGCAATCGGTACGGCGAGATGTCCTCAAACGCCGCCGAATCCTTTAACAACTGGATTTCCGAGGCACGTCACCTTCCGATAACCCATTTGGTGGATAGTATAAGGACACAAATAATGCGACAAATGTCAACCAGGCGGGAAACATCACAAAAATGGCATGGTGTGTTATGCCCAAAAATAGAAAAACACCTAGAAAAGTCATACAATGAAGGGAGGTCATGGACTGTAAGCCAATCAAGCCCTGCCGTGTATGAGGTACACTCAGACCCGTCCGTCATGGTCGATGTTGACAGACGCACATGCTCATGTTTCTAGTGGCAGATTAATGGGTTCCCATGCTCACAAGTCATTGTTGCCGCTCAGAAAAGTAGACAAGATTTGTACACATTAATTGAGCCTTACTTCTATGCCTCAGAATATTGCTTGTCGTACAGCCCAACAATAACACCAATACCAACAGTCGAACAACCACCAATCCAAACACATAATTTAGTCATACTGCCACCCGCTGTCAAATGACCACCTGGCAGGCCCAAGAAGAAGAGGATACCCTCACGCGGTGAGGAAGTCCAACCTATACGTTGCAGTAGGTGCGGCCGCATGGGACACCACAACCGGAAGACTTGCAAAGAACCGATATAGCAGATCGACCCAATCATGTGGAAACACACTATTTCAAAATTTTATTGTGTTATTTTTCCCAATTAATAATCATGGGTTACACATATTTTCCATGTATGCATTTAATTTCCAAGTACTTTTCATATTGTGGACAACGTTCCAAAACAGTCTCCCATTCATAATGTAGTGCAATACTCATTTACTTTTCTCCGTTAAATCGTTTTCAATTATCCATTGCCTTAATTTGATTCCTATTGTTAGATAATTTGCTTTCAGCGGGAACACACAATACATAACAGCACACAAATTGCACCACTATCCACTCTTCTGAATTTCCACAACAAACGTAATGTCCGTACGCACGCCACTACTAACATTAACCCTTAGCGCCTTCACAATGTCACCCATCTACATTTTACAACACACCACTACTAATACTTGTGTCACCTGACCTTTATCTTACATGCGGAATGCAAAACTCTTCATCCACCATCACACAACCACGTAATACCTGTTCCACTTGTGTCAACCATACAAGTTCAACATACAAAATTCCCAAGTAGTAAATGTACAAAACACAATCATATATGTAACATAACACATAATCGCATAACCTCCATCCGCAATTATTATTATTCACAATTTAATACCCAACGTTAAAACCAACCAAAACATTTACAAGAACTAACACAAACTTAATAAAAAATTTCGTCACTGTGTAAACAAAACCCCACAAAAAATTTGAATATAACGTAGCGCCACCGTACTGCTAAACAAAAACCCAAATGACAAATCAATCCCAATTACAAAAACCAAACAGCTTTATACTTCATGCACTATCTTTCAGCCCCCTATCATGGTCGTTCACAGACCCTTTAACCATGTTGGCGCGCAATATGACGCAGTTATCCCCCTGCAACGATCTGTTGACATCAACATGATGTACATACTAATGCATTACAGCACACATAATGATTGCGCAGTCCTCCCTGTAATGTGTGACAACACAAATACACACAACTTATTAACTCCTTCAACAAATCATATACCACATTACATTTGATGTATGTACTCTCAAATTAATCTGTACAATACACGTACGTGTCGTGTTTTTGCTGCGGGCAGTTAATGACTGCCTCCACACCCATTTCAACAATCTGCGTTGCGTCGTCATCGCCCAATCCGACCACGGCGCCCCGTTGGATTTCAAGAATGGTGTCCCTCTGTAAAACAATAGCCTTCCATTAGCAAACACACACAACCAAAACACATAAAAACACAACAACCCCACACATATAATGATACACTTCACTCACCACAAACAATGCCTCATTAAAGTGCTTGTCTTCTATTCCAACCCGGGGCCTCATAGAGTTGTAATGTTTCTAGACACCCATTTTAGTGTCATAAACAACCAGCGTCCAGTGTACTCGGAAACAAATAGGGAAGTGGACGTACCGACAATCTTTACATGCCATGAAGTTGTCTAGCACAAACCTGTCCCGTGCATTAGTGTTATCATTTTTTAACATATCCTGCATCATTATTTCACCCGTTAGATTATAAGATTTTAATCGTTCCAAACATGCACCACAAAGCTTCCTAATGTAACTTCAAAAACAACTTCACAAACTCACAAGGCATATGCTACTAAAAATGTATGACTTATCTGGGAACTCCACTCCAACAGCAAGTCTATCGTGTTCTTCCATCAACAAGACTACGTAGGCATCTATCACCTGTCACAAAATGGTAAACTTCAAAAAAAATATACATTTAAACAATAACATTACAACTTTAAACCAATTACTTACATTGCCATGCAATGACGACGGCTGAACAAGCGACTTAATATCCGCAAAGTACACACACACATCATGTCCACTGCTAGCCTACATAACCGCTTTACAAGTAAAAAACATAATGCATGTCAAACGAATGTACACGCAAACCTAATTTTATTTCCATCACACGCACATTACATACCTGTCCCCATCTTTGTTATATGCGTCTCTAATTTTCTCTTTCTTCACTATAGTCATCAATTTTCACACCCCTAAACGGTTGTTCAAACCAAACCCAGACCACTCCCTGCTCCTGACTGCACACGCATCCACATCAATAGCGCGTCCAACGTTACCACTTCTCACACCGTTACACAGGACATCCACTACCTTACTATCCACCACCTTACCACACTCCACCATCATTTTACCCACACCACCACACTCAAAATCTGGCTTTATAAGCTCTTTCCTCACCTTACCCTTCAGGTTCCTCACAAACGAGCTTTCCATGCCCTCCACAGGTTGTCCTAGGCATACACCTACCAACTTCAACTACATCGGAACCATTCCCACTAACTCCAACCATCACACCACATGTCATGTCATTGTAACCCCCACAACTGTCACCCTTTGTTAACACATTATTTCCCTGCTGTCCAACAATATCCAATGTTGCCCCATCCTTAATTCCAACATCCTTGCCTTCCCCCATATCAATGCAACCGTCAGCGACCTTACGAAATGCTTGTGTCACATTGTGCACATATGTTCAGCTAACTGCTCCTCTAAAACACCTATCGTTTTCCGTAGCTCAACATGTTCCTCCACCACCTTCTTTATCTCATCTTCTTTTACCTTGAAAACTAAGGTGAAACCATCAACTATATCCACAGCTTGTTTTTCTTTCGTCCTCCTCAGCTAGTCCACCTCTGCTTATAACTCCACAATTATACCATCTTTAAGTCTACATTCCGTCCGAAGTGCGTACAACCCGGCTAACGCTTTCTCTAGTTCCCCCTTGCCATCACCAACCCGTTCCATCCGTCTTGCACATACAATACCACCAAAACCCCCCTCCGTTGAACTTACGGCATCGACCGCAACACTGTGTTTACCTTTTGCAACCACACCCCCCTTCGTTGCAATTTGGCTACGATCACCACTGCCTCTCACGTCCCATTTAGTAGTAACCCTGATACCAACCACAACTTTGTTGCCACCATCACCCATGTTCACATCGTTTCCACCCCCACTGTCACTACAAAAATCATCACTGCCATTGCTATTGTATTCTCCACCCACTTCTCGATCTTCATCAATATTAGCGTCCTCCCCACCATCAAACTCTTCTCCAGCTATTATAACATTTTCGTACGGTTGGCTCACAAGTCTGCCACTAATCACCTGCCACAAAAATAACACAAATCAATTACGCACTACTACACAAAAAAGAAAAAAAAAAAAACATATTAAACACACCCAAATAACACACATCAAACTTGTACTCACACACCTCAAACTGTGACACAGACGCCAAATCCAAGTTACGTGTTCTGGCCAACAGTGTGCTAATGTTCCATTTCAAAAATCGGGGGAACATTATGGGTTTAGTCGTGGACACGATGTTCGTATGCTCACAATGCTAGTACTGTGCATGCACTAAGACAACATCAATTACTACGTAATACCAACAACATGTTCAACAAATATTACACAACTTTATTTATTGGCAACGTGCATGATATGTGACACCAGTAAAATAATAAAATCATTTAACGTAAACAACATACCAGCAGCGCAACAACACAGCCCGTAACTTTCTCCGGAGTCTGCCAAAATTCACTCACAGACCCCATCAGCGTGTTTAGTATTGCCGCCGTCCAATCATAATATTGGACATTGTCCAAGTTGTCTATGTACCGAACAAATAACCAACTGATCGTCTCCCCAGACGTTGAGAAAAATAACTTCACGCACACATATAAACACAGCAGCTTAGCAGTGTCCTCCTCATCGCGCTTCGAATTACCTTTCACCGCATCATCAAGTAAGTTTTAATCAGACTCGTTGTTATCCGCCCTACGCCATTACAATGTCGTTGAATGAAATCAGATGCAGGGCGTGTGCCCGGCATCAGGTCCAAATGTTGGACACCACATTGCAGCCCGAAAACCAACCTAATGTCAGCTTTGCAAACTTTAACAGGACAGCCACCAATATAGAACGTGTCGTCACGCAGCTTAAACGTCCTCAAAATTTTAACCACCAGATCGTCACATTTCCTGTATTCATTGAAGTCTGGTTTGTTAATAATAATGGCTTCAAACATTAGCCAAAACGGTGTTCGCTTCTGCTACCGAAAGTGTCTTTCACTCAACCCCAACTCGGAAACAACCTTAATTACACTTGCCATATTGGACTAAAAATTTATACGCTGCGTTGGTTTCCGAGGCGACCGTATATTCTAACCAACTCTTTGCAGCTG